AGGGCCACCGCCTCCGTTGGGTAGCGGGTGAGGCAGTCCAACCTCCCTGAATCCTCCCCGAAGAGATGCCACCGTCTGTTGTTGTTGTTGTTATTGTCAATGTTAATTTAGGAGTTTTTAGACTCATATCGACATAATAAAGTCATTAATGGGGAATCAAACTCAAAACCCTCTGAGCACCAGAGCGAAGATCGTCATCAATTCTGACACGGAGAGAGTTTGTACATGTGATGGGATGTGGGTCAGTGGTACAAGCAGAGAGGAGGGGGAGGAGAGGGGGAAGAGAGGGGGGAGAGAGGAGTGGAGGGGAGGGGAGAGAGAGAGAGAGAGAGAGAGAGAGAGAGAGAGAGAGGGGGGGGAGAGGGGGGGGGGGGGGGGGGGAGAGGAGGGGGACATTTATACCTCTCTCCTATTCATAGTGGAGTCAGGTGGCTTTCATGCAGAAAACACAAGGGATACATGTAAATAGAAAAGTAACCACCGCTCTTTTTTTCTTTTACTAAAAATAAAACCCCAACATTTTTTAGCTTTGTTTGAAAAGTTTAATGCCGACTGTTCTTAAATATGTAGAACAATTGATGAAGAAAGCATATTGATTTTCATAACAAAGGATGACTAAAAGCAAAAATTATGATCTTTCGATTGATTAAACAAATTCAATTTAACATAATAGAAACAATCATTCAATCAACAAGATAACTACTCACAAATGAAAGCTGTATGAATATGACCAAACTGAGTTTAACAGTTTCAGTTATCTAAGGAATGTCGGCGTCAAAACAAACAAAACAAAGTCAACAGAATGCGTGTATTAGAAAAAAAGAGCCAGGCCGAAAACATAGGTGTATAAATTGTCTGTTCACTGCCGAGCCGTGGGAGTTCATCGATCTCTTTAACAGAGTCAGACAATCCCGGCGTCCACACCCAGTCACAAACAAGACTTACACTGTCCGTCATTGGTTAGAGGCGCAGCATAATGAACATGTCAATAAAGTATTATAATTTATTTCCTGCCATGTTTTAAATCACACTTGTATTGTCTATTGTCTTCGGGAAATACAACACCTTGTCCACTTCCAAGGAATGCTGACCGACAGAACATGTAACACATTATGCGACGTCACAAAGTGAGTTAAAGCTTCGATATGAGTATGACACCAACCGTTCATTTTCACGAGCTTTCCCTTTTTCAAAGAAAGACCCTATGAAAATCATTACGTTCAGAATAATGGTGACCACGCTTAAGCTGCTATTTTGGCAGTGCTCTGATGTGTCAGCGCCTTGTTTTTCATATTTCTGACTAGGTGCAGGGAAGTTACGGTGCTTGATGAAAAAAAAAGTTAACAAGATGGCTTACGTTGTTTCGTTAGTATTCTTTTTTTTGCGTGCGTATAGCCGAGGTGATGTAATGTCAAGGTCGAGGTGTCGGTTCAGAGGAACTGACGTCAGCGCCACGTCTGCTTGAGTTGGCGTCTGAATCTCCGGCACCCCCACGCCCCCCAGCGGTAGTTTTATCATGAGGAGAGGAGACCAGTTGTGAACGTTTGCTGCTGCTGTTGCTACTGGCGGCGCCACTCATCTCCCCGAGTTGTCGTCTGCGTCGGAGGTAGTTGACCTTGAGAATGAAGGATTCGGTCATCAAGCGACCCGTCTTGTCGGTGTGTTGCCGCACGAATGACGGGACGGATTCTGAGAGTTCCCTGAAGCCAAGCTGTTGGTAGAGGAAGCCAGGCCTGTACATACCCCTGTCTCCGCCTCTGGGATACAGACTGGACGTTGAGTGGGGGGAGAGAAAGAGATTATTAAGACAGCTGCTGAGTCTTGACTATGGTCCTGAAAACCGATATGACTGTGGGTTTTTTTTTCACTATTTACTTTAGTTCAAGAGAGCACCTACGTAATTATATTGACGAGAGTTCTAAATCCTAATAACTTTTACGCAAGAATCAAAAGTAATGTTACAAATGGCACCAAAGTAACTGGCGGTGTTTCCAGCAGAACCATCTACAGAAGACCGAAAACAAGACAATCCAAATAAGGAAGTGGAGAGAGGAGCTTCATGTAGACTTACATTGTAACTAACAGTAACAGAAACAAACTGAAAAGCATCACAGACTTCAGAGAGATCTCAATTTTCATCATGGACACTGACTAGACGTTCATCCATTCAAAAACTAAAGACAAGAAAACCTGTGAGAAGAGACGTCATGAACCTTGGTACACTAAATGAAATGATTCTGCTAAATTTATAATACGATACATGAATGGTTAAAGAAGAAGTTTGCCTATAATACCCGACAACATTCAAGCTGAAAGGGAAAAGTTCAAAGCAAGTGTTTAAACTTTTGTGAAAGAAGAACGCGGACCAAGGAAAGTGGACCAGCAGAGAAGAAAAACAATATAACTGTGCAATGGAAATGTAAAGGAAGTGATCAGAGTGAAGTAAACATCATTTAAGTTAATTAAGAGATGGCACTCTCATGCTCATATCACTTTATGCAGTTGCAGGCGCCGTAAAACACTTACAAAAAAGTTTTTAAAAAGGCAGAAATCAATGATCGAGGAAGACTTCATACTTTACAGGAAGACAAAGCGATAGAGTTGTGAGAAAAACCCCCCAACAACAACAAAGGTTGAGTCGTGGAAATAATACGGAGAACAATTGGCGATAAAGTGCAATGAAGACTCAAGAGAGAGTTTTATCAAATTGACAAAAGTATGCACACTCGAAACGGGCTGTTCAACCAAACAACCCTCATCGACAAAAAACGGCCACCCAATCATTAACAAAAACTTTTTTTAAAGAAAAAAAGAAGAAAATATTTTTAAAAATTGTTAAACCCAACAGAAAAAGGCCCGGCAGAAAAGTCCCCCCGCCAAAGAAGAGAGTAATGAACCAGCAATGTTACAAGCGAAGTGACAGCATGCGCAATATACAAGAGACAT